TGTCGTAACATATCAAATCAAGTTTCATTGTATTTGGTGGGCAATTCTTTTCATAGCATTGGTACGTGTTGTACGACAAATAGTTCTCAGGGCACGACGTATTATAGCAGAACTTTCTAAGACCGTCGACGTAATAATTTGAAGGGCAAGTCACATCGCAAGTGAAGTCTGCTGTATTAGTGAAGAACAAGTTCGATGGGCATTGCTCCTTATAACACTTTTTATTGATGTCATCAGTGTAAAGTCCTTTATCGCACTTTTCTTTGCACGACTCGTCATTTTCATAGTAATAAGTCGTGTTCTTGTCACACGTATTAACACAATAATTAGTGACATAGTCTTTCTTCATATTATTAGGACATATACTATAACATATCAAGTCATCTTCATGAGCAAATAAGGTGCCAGTGCACTCGTCATAACACTGAAGTTGATCTTTATCTCTCTTCAAATCGCCACAACTCGTCAAACAGCTTGAGTTCGTCTCATAGAAGTACTTCTTGCAGCTAGTACGAGTTATACATGTCTTTGTTTTCATATCATTGTATTTCTCTATAGCAGTGCAGTCTTCATAACACTTCATCCCATATGTAAATAAGTCCTCGCGACACCCATTTGGATAGCAAGTCAATCCACTCTCAAATGTATAATTCCCATTGGGACATGAAGTATAGCACTTCTTATATGTACCATTATCAAATTTGTATTGCATTTCTGTCCCTGTGCAATCCAAGAGACAGCTATAGTTATATGAAAATTCATAGTGTGTATATGGGCATTTACTCACACATTGATTCGTCGAAATGACTTGGTAATTAGGTCTTTCACAACTCTTAATACACATATCGTCCAATTGAATTGTTAACTCGGGACATTGATCTACACAAGTTGGTCTAACATTAGGTTCTGCAACATTTTTAAGTTGACCGGGACATGTGTTGTTGCAATAGACTTTGCCGTCTACAGTGACTTCAACGAGAGTAATAGGACACTCTGTTACACATTGTTTATTGATTAAGTCCGTCTTAGTGTCACATGTAGTGTGACACATCTTACTCTCTGTATCTACATCACTATAAAAATCTTGGCAGCCACCAATTAAGCATTGTTTAGTCTCTACAACAGTGTATTGTTCCACTTTACATTGAGCGGCATAGCACTCCTTCGCATCAAAAGTGTTTAAGATGTAAAGAGTAGTGTCGCACTCTCCTACACATTTCTTGTTGGCAAAATCACTGAATTCATTTTCTTCACATGCATCTACACAACTCAATCCATTCAAGCTCAAAAAGGTATCTTGCGGACATTCCGAGTAACATTTCTTGTCAATCAAATAAGGCAGTTGTGCACCTTCGCAAAGGTCATGACAGCTCCCAACACACATTGACTCACAGTTGAAGTAGTTTTCAGGGCAGCCATCTGTGTAGCACGTGTTATTGTATTCCACCAATTCTCCACAGTCATCCACACAAGTGTTCTCTGCCAAATTTGTCTTCTTTCCTTCAGGACATCTTTCAATGCACTCCTTTCCATTACTCAATTTGTCACAAGTTGGTATACATCTTTGTCCTTCGAAGTAATTGGGACATGTTTCTAAGCACTGTGTGTCGTCTTCAGAGACGAATAAAGTGGAGTCACACGACGCAACGCATTTGTTAGTAGTTGTATCCAAATACTTAATATATGCAGGGCATTCAGAAACGCAGTGTTTATTAATCTCATCGGTGTAAATGTATCCGCCTTGATTGGCTTCAAAGCAGTTATCTATACAATACTTAGAATACAATGGGTCTTCAATGGTATAGACTATACACGTGTTGTAACACAACGACCCATCCACTGAACTCTTGTCGTCTTCTCCACACGAATCGACACACTTGTGCTCATCCACATGTGTTGATTTAGGGCAATGCTGTATACACGAATTTCCATTCAAATAATAATCCCCAGTGCAGGCTTCTACACATGTCCGTGTATTTTCAACTAAAAGTAATGAGTTGATAGTACAATCAGACTCAAGACACTTAAAATCATAGATGTAAGTCTCTGTAGGACACGTATCAACACATGTATGTTGGAACTGATACTGCCCTTGTGGGCAAGTATCATTAACACAGTATTTATCCTCTGTAGAAAGAAGATTCCCTTGACATGTCGTATAACATTTCTCTGTCTGGGTATAAGCGTACCCATTGGCTTGACATTGTTCTAAAGTCAAACAATGAGTTTCAGTCTCTTGGGATGCAAATAAATTAAGCGCACAAGACGTGCACTTTCCAAGAGTGGCATCATAATACGAACGGATGCCTTCACAAGAACATACGCCTGGAAGATTGACGTCCTTGCAAATTCCTCCGCACTCTACTGGGCATTCAACTGCTAAGGTACTACTCAAAAACACAAAGAAAAGGTGAAGTAGCAACATTCTATTTCAAATGATTTCGAGTTTGTTGGGGGTTAAATGGGGCTGTCTGTGAATTGATTCAAATGTTTTTATTATTCAAATAAGTTGTTATTAAGTTTAATTATAGTTTTCAAATGTGCCCAAAGAGGCAAGAGGTATTATTTTAGCCCGTTTGGGTTCCTTTTTCGTCGTTAAATGATGTTTTATAGTATTTCATATAGTAAAGTAATAATTCATTAATAATTTAATCGAGCAGTTCTTTGTGTTGTTCTGATTTAAAATACACTGAAATAGATATAGGGATTTTATTGACTCGTTTCATCAATTCGTGGAAAGGTAATTTGAAAATAGAAAAACTATTGATTAATAATTATTTTATTATAAATTATTAATATTTATAGTTTAAATATGATTTTCTTATTTTTAGTTTTTTTATCAATTTAAAACAATAAAAATAGAATTATTATTGATACAGTTTTCATAATATCATAATTAATAAAAAACAATAATAAACAGGTAAAACAATTTATAAATAATCTATTTATAGTCTTTTCTATTTTTTAATTATTATATCGAGCATTAAATGCTGATAACGATAATAAAATAAACAATTTATTTTTTTTGTCATTTTCTAATGGAAAATAAGACAAAATTTTTAAAAATATTACTAATTGATGGTAATTGCACCATCAAGTTAAAAATCATCATTATAAAAAATAACTATTTTAATTAAATATATATTATAACTTATACTAATTAAAATCATAGAATAGAATCTAAATAATCATTAACTTGCCAAGAAATTATAAACAGGAATGAAGTTTATCTATTTTAATTGCTGATTGTAAAATAATAATAACACAATTGCTATTATAAAAAAATCTATAATTTATATTATAAAATAATATAGTTTACATATGATTTGGCATTCTAAAATAACAAAAATACAATTTGTTATTTCACATTCAACACTACGAAAAGCGTCATTGTGTTTCAAGAAACACAACGATACTAGTCGAGTAAAAGAGACTGCACAGTAATCATTGCGTCTTCGATAACCTTTCTGAACCCAATTGCTTTTTCGAAAGAGAAGAGAGCATCGCATTGTTTTATCGATGATGGTTTCTTTCGCGCAATCGTGTCCAAAAAGTACAACATAAATACACCACAGTCAATACCGTTTTTTTGTTGAGGCACTTTGACTTTACGTGTTTTGATACTCACTTTAGGTTGGTCGACAGCAAACCTACGTTTGACAAATTTCCGTAACAGTTGTGTGGAATCACCACACAAAACATTGCTGATACTATCCAACGTCAAGATGCATGGCGACTCCTGAAACTCGTCGCTTCCGCCTTCGACAAGACCCGAGCAACACACAACATACAAGTTCCAGTGCCCACTTTCTTGCCCATTATTAATATGTTTTGGTAGAATCACAAACCTTTTTGTTTTCCAGTCCGTCTTCACCCATTTGTCAAGCCCGGCCTGGTTTTGCTCTTGTTCTAATTTTTCAAAGAAATACGTGTTCCATATCTCGATTGAATCATCTCTGATTTGGTCCTTCAGAAACTCAATATAAAAATTGACAACAGCATCGTTCAACATTTCGTCTTTAACTCGTTGAAAATCGTTGACAGTGATAGGCACCCCTTTGTAACAGAACATCTCAACACTCAGCTCTTCTTCCATCTTTGCAATTTTGGTCTGCAAGCGCGTGTTATGGGCTGGTCTCTTTTTGGTAACAATGTGTTGTGTGTCATCGACGTCGATAACATCGCTTCTTTTTGGTGTCGAAATATTGATTGTGGTGTTTGAATTTCTATCCTGCACAAGAGTGAGTACCGGTTCTGGAACTCTAACCTCCAACGCTTTGTTCGTAAGAGAGTTTTTCTTCTCGATATTTTCTAAATTTTGCGGCTTTATTTGTTGCGTCGTTTTGCCACTTTCAATCTCCAATAAGGCGTTGAGTTGCGGTGTTGTTCCTAACACACTTTTCGTTCCATCATTTTCAATCTCACGTTGTTGATTTCCTTTCATTTCATCACAACGCGGAACGGTTTGCATTGATGAAGCCTGGGAAAACAGGGAGACAAACGTCCCACTCTTGGTTTTGTCTTTGATCTTCGAATTCATCGTGATCAAAGCACTTTGCAATTCTTCTGGTATAACATCAGTTTTCTGCCGCATCGTCTTCTTGACTCTGTGTTCTCTGAAAAAGTTGACGAGCTGTTCGCTGGCGCATTTGTCGAAAGTGAAAAAGCAGATGTCTTCCGAAGAGAAAAAGTGAAATTGAAAGACCTTTACAAGCTCTCGAGATACATGGAATTCCTCAACAACAAACCGCTCAATCTTCGAAAACAGAACCTCCTCTTTCTCAAACTGTAAGTAGTTGTCATTTAAAACAATTTGTATTTCACGCTCAAATAATTTCTTTTGGAAATAAGATAAAATACTCGTCACCACCACCTTGTTACTTGTGATGAATTGTTCCCTCGACGCCAGGTCCTGTATGCTGTCCGCATACATCCCCATGTAAGGACGCTTCATAGGGGTGTTGTATTTTTTTAAAGTTTTTATAGTAGTATAGTTATTTAATAGTTATTTTATAATTATTTTTTCTAAATTTTTTTTAAAAGCCATATATGATTATTAATAGTTTTATAATAATTAACTTGATTATTATCATAACCATAATTGAATACTAAAAATTATTATACATTTATTATAAATGAATTTATTATATTAATGATATTAATTTACTATCATTTTAAATTACTTAATCTAATAAAATCATGGTTCAAATTTAATTAATAATTTATTATTTATTTTTTTTATAATAATTTGTCAGAATCATACTCTAAATAGAATTATATTATTGATAGTTAACATATTTAAATATTATAATAAATATTATTAATAATATAATTCAAAGATTTTTTTGACCAAAAAATAAAAAAATATATTTTTATTGTAATTTATGCTACAATTATATAATAAAAAATATATTATATCATAATAAAATAATATAGTAAAATTATAGTATATGAAATAATATTTAATTGTATTTTAAAATAGTTTAATTTGTAATTTATTTTTTGATTTTTTTAGTTTAAATAATTTGAAAAAGAATAAAATGAAACGTCAAAGTGTTTTCAACAAAGTAAATTGTAATACAATTAAAGAAATACATTTATTTCCTTAACATGAAATTGACATCAAGTCTTGAAGTCAACACACTGTAAGAACTTAGAAGATCAAATGAACAAGGGGAAATTGTGGGCAGAGTTTTTTGGAGTCAACGATCCCATCCACATTTATAATTATGCAATTAAATTTGGACCACTGGCTTCTTTTAAAATATGTGAGAAGAAGTCAGACTCATACATATTCAAAATAGTATTTGAGAATGAAGAGGATATCGACTTCATGCTTCGTCAAAGCAGTCCTCATGAGTTTTTTAATTATATTAAAGTCCTGAAAAGGGATGGAAGAAAATTTGGATCCTTTGAAGATGAGACCTTTTCAAAAAAATTTTCAAAAAAATTCAACACCCGTTTTGAAAACAATATAACTTATTTTTAAATTTTGGTTACATTTGAGTTGTGTTGAACATAGGAGAATTTCTTGATTCAAAAATAAAATGATATTTTATATTGATATTATTTTTCAATTATTGTTTCCTTGCTTTGTAAACTTAGACCGTATATTCACAAAAATAAATATATAATATCAAAACATACCTTATATCTTTTTAAAAATATCAAAATATTTTATGAAGGTTTATTATTTGTAGTTATTTATTTCCATAGTTTTTTAAATCACAGTAATCAATGTAAATGCATTATTTAATTTATTACACTATAAAATTTAACAACAGACATTTAAGACATTCTGTTTTGAAATTATGTTGATGCTAAATATTTCCAAATTGATAATTTCGATATAAGAAATTAAGTTAGTTATATTTTATCATTCTAATCCAATGATTAAACTTATTATTGTACAAAAAATATTGACGAACATTTGTTGTTTTGTTTATTTATTATAATAGTTCAAAGAAAAAGAAACAACAACACAACAATAATAAAATTGTTAAAAACAACCAACCACATAAAAACAATTCAAATTTTAACACAAAAGACAACACAAAAGTTTTCATACAACTTTACACATCACAAGAACAAGCAAAGCGATTACTGTCAACTAATAAACAATCACAAATTTATAATTTACTTTTTTATTGAAAAATATTATCTTCAAAAACTTGATTATTGAATTATTTTAACAATCATTAATTAAGCACAATAAAATAACAAGGCAATCAATCAATAATAATCAAACAACACTTTCTTCTTCGTATTTTTCATTTTATGTTTTGTAATCTTTTTGAATTGCTCTGGATCTTATTCACCATTTGAGCGTTCAGACCTCTGTGAATTCTGTTGTTTAAAGTTGTATATCATGCGAATTAAGCACCAATAATTGATTTATTTCGATGTTTGGTCATTTTATGTTTGGTCTGTTTTTAACAACATAGAGGCACTCTTTTGCAATAAAAGAGTCACAATTGCAATATGCGTTGATACTAATATGCTTATATTCTATATCAAAACATTTATGTTGATATATATTGTGATGATTGTTCATTTTTAAGCGATGCATAGTTTGAATATTTGTCATGATTACCATGTATATGGATCTGGGAACGAGTATAGAATCTGTTGCGTATAAAGAGTCATAATGGTGGAAATTGTGTTTGTTGTGGATTTGAATTACAAATAATGTAAATTTGCATTTACATGATTTGCCGACTCGTCAAAAGCCGGCATATCGTTTGGTGCTTATATTCTACATGGTTAATATTTTTGATGTATATCAAGAAGAAACAACCTGTTTGTAATGTTAAAACATGGCTTGAATGACCAAATGGGAAGGCGCTTATATGACTTGACATAATGATATAATGAAGAGAGTGTTTTGATGTAAATACTATTACTCTTTACTTGGTGGCGCCTTCGAATGTGTGTTGTGTATTAACTATTTATTTTGTCATTGCTTTAATGTAATTGTGCAATCAACACACTAATTGTATTATTCATAAAAATAAATAAATATGTTTTTGTCATGTCTGTTATTTGTATGTCAGTACTATAGTCAATGTTTGTTGTACAATTTGTTCATTTAATAAATTGCCATCGTTTCCATAATTATTTATATGGAAATCATTCACAAGCATTTTGGATTAAAGCTTGTGTTTGTTAATAATTCCATTTGGTCGTATATATATGTATACAGATTTTACAATAAATAACTTTGTGATTCACTTTGAGTGTCATCGTTTAACATTAATTGATGTGTTAGATAATCAAATTATTGTTTATATATCATGTATTTTATATTCTATTTTTAATTATCGTATTATTTATCGAAGAATGGCATGACATACGATAATAACATGTTAAAATACAAGCATTTTGATCTTTATATGCCATGTTTTGAATTGTTTTGTGGTTTTATATTATATTCAATGCTTATGACTTGTTTAAATTGTTTTTTTAAGTTTGAACCCAACAATGCGTTATGAGAATTATGCAGTATGTTCCTTGATTAAAAAAGTTAAAAACAATACAATTGTGTCTCTTTTTATGATTGTTATTCGGCAATTTTTATTTTATAAATAGCAATTTTTATTGTATTTTTACTCAAATTTAAAAATATAGTTGTATTTTTAGTTTCAAATAAAAAGTGTTTTTAAAAAACCTTTTGTTGTTTTAAAAATGTTCTCTATTATTGATGATATTACAATTTTAATTTGGTGGTATATTTTTGTGGATTTTAATATATTCACAAATCATTTTATTATTTTTAAATACTTTTTGTTATTTATTAATTTTTTATTAAAATGATATTATTTTATGTTTTTTAAATCCAAAAGAAACTGTTATTTGAAAAGTCAACGAAATAAAAATAAAATTGTCTATCAATAAACACAAAAAAATATCGTGTTCTAATTATTCCAACCTTCTCATTGAACAAATCGTTGAGTTACACCTTTATCACAAACCAATTCTTACAATCACAGGATAAATAATTTAATTGTTAAAAAATAGAACATTAAACAAAAAACAACACTTTTTATTTTTATACAGTCTGTATTTACATAATTTGTTGCAAATATTTGACACAATAAAGTTAATATCAGGAATGTATTTTTATTTTTAAAATATACAAGTTATTTTTACATAATGTTTACTTTCAAATAAAATTGACAAATAAAGACCAACAGAAAATTGTCGTACACTTGTGTTTTTAGTATCAAACAAACCAAAAAATCAGGTATATTTTTTCACATATAAAATTTGACTGAACAATCAGGAAAAAAAATTAGGTTTTGAAAAAATAAAAACCCGACTTTGTACAGAAAAATACCTTAAAACAATGTGTACGACTATTTTCTGATGTACGACAGTTTTCTGGTGCTCTTTACATAATATTTTTGTTGTTAATAGATTAAGGTATTAATTAATTGATTTAAAAGTTGTTTATTTTTGTTTTTTAAAAATAAATATTTTCTATTTATTTTAATTCTTACATGCTCTCCTATCTTATTTATTGTATTCATTTTGATGATAATCTTTTATTCAACTGAATTTATTGAAATATTGTTATTTTATTCCATTGTTATTTGCTTTGTCTAAGATAAAATGAACATCATATTATTTGTTTTTAGCAACATCGACAATATTTTACTTTTGTTTTGAGTACTTTAATATTGTCTTCCATCTATCAAAATAATACTTGTTGTGTTTGTTAACTTTAGTATTGTTATTTAACCATATCTTTTTGTTCTTCAAATACTTTTATCTGTGATCGGCAATATTTTTAAACCATTCAGTCTTGTCTTTGTCGCTTTGTTTGTAAAACTGAACAATTATCAAAGCATTTTATAAATTGTTTTTTGCTACATCTTTTTCATATTATTTTTGTTTCTTTTAGTTATTAAATATATAATTTTACGTTGATTTGTTTTAAATGTTGTATAAGCCAAATCTTTTAACCCTTCCAGTACCAGAAATATGATTGTAATAACACCATAGTGTGGCTTTTTAAACTTTTTATTTATATAAGACTGAAAACTATTTATATAAAGCATTTTGTGCTTAAAAAGTTTGTAATATAAAAACAACGTCCACAATTTCGGGAAATTAATTGTCGTTTAAATTATTATTTGTTTTTGAATTATTTATGTTTTCATTTAACTTTATTATTAAATTTTTAACACATTTTTTACTAAAAAATAAACTTAAATTTATTATATTATAATCATAAACATTTAACATTAATTAGAATTATATATTTTTAAATAAAAAAAAACGATAAATAATTTAAATTTCACATTTAAGGGTTTTTTGAGGATAAGGTGTATCCTCAGGATCAAAGCTATCCTTATTAAAAAATATTTTTCTGAGGATACAAAAAACAAATCCATAAGGTTCAGTTCCCCATAAGGCCCACTCTCATAACTCAAGTTATAATTTACACTTAATATTTCGAGTCAAAGTTCAAATTTTAAATTATGGTAATAATTAGTCATAAATGCCAAAAAATAAATACAATCAAAAAATCGCCACAATAATCAGTAAACAAAAACAATAATTATATCTCTCGAATTTGAGACGGGAAATAACAAATTGTGAATTAAACTTGTTCATATTATAATTATAAACTTATTGATATTATTTACAAATCCGTTTTAATAACAAAACGATTGAAATTTACATTTAAATTGATAATTGTTTTTTTTATCAAAATGAAAATTGAAAAAGTCGAAAACACTGTTTTTCTAAAAATGTAATTTTAAAATAACAAATTTATTAATAATTTTGTAATTTATGCAATTGTTCAAATATATTATAATAACAAAGTTAATCATGTTGTGTATATTTTAAAAAGAATGTTTCATTATTGATATTAACTTGTGTTTTAAACAAATTTACAGTTCTAAGGATGGCAATTATTTTCTGAGGATGACAGAAATAGAAAGTTTACACTTTTACGTCTGTATGAAATGTATATTGAGTAAGTTACTATTTTTGAATATGGGAACACGTCATTTCACTTTTTAGATGTTTAAGTCTGTGTTGATAATGTCTGTTTGTTACACGACTTACCATCCTCAGAGATATGTATAGCATTGCCACTATTGATTTAAAAATCTATAAATAAAATTATCAAAGAATTTTTATAAAGTGGGTTTTGATAATTGATTATATCAAAAATCGTCAAAACACAACAAAAATGCCAAATAATAAATAAAATTGATTAATAAATTGAACACATTTCTATTGAGAATTGATATTATATAAAAAATAATATAAACATATATTTCTTGTGTATATATGTTTTGAAATATAAATAAAACCGTTTAAAACAAAAATGATTTTATTTTAAAAATTTGTTTATTTATCAATCGTTCTTTTATCGATATCCAAAACCTCTCGTTTTGAATTTGCGCAAATACATAAATTGTCATCGCATAAAGTATACGTTATTAGTACGTTATTTGCTATCAATTTTTATTGTTTGAAATATCATGAATTGATTTATAATAAATTATTTTTGTAAAAAAAGATTAAAAATTGTTCGATTAATTTGTTTTGTGATTTTGATTAAAAAATTGACTTTTTCGATAATTTAAATGTCTGTCAAATGTTTTCATATAAACCAAAGTTAGCCTTGTGGTAAATCAGAAAATAGAAATAGATTATTTTTTTGTAAAAATCAACTGAAAGAATCATCTTTCAAAAAATCCATAAATAGCATTTTTAAAGAAAATCATGTGTTTCAAAATATACCTTATTTATCTTAGGCAAAAAAATCCAAATTGAAAGAAATTATGTTTAAGATATTTACCATCCTCAGAAAAATTAACAATCCTCATGAATCCCTTTAATATATAATTTAAGTTTATCTGATTTGTTTTAAATGTTGTATAAACCATATTTTTTATAATCATTCATTTTGTCTTATATTTGTAATTCAAAGTAGGAATTATATTAACTTTAAACGTGATTAAATCATAACAATTATTATGACTTCTCATATTTAGCTAATTATAAATATTTATTCAAAGAGCCAAATTTTACATTTTTATTTGAACGCATGTTTGTCCATACCCAAAACTGGGACTTATGTATTATTCAAAACAACACAAATGTCTATGTTCTAAAAATTGACAACAAAAAATGTTCTGCAACTTTTCGACCTATTTTTCCGAATCAGAAGTGTCTTTCCCTCTTCATCTTATTCCGGTCACATTTTACTCAATCTTTATTTCAACTGTTGTTTATCCTTGTTCAAAATAAACAATTTCAAAACTATACATTTATTATATAAAAACTATAGCTTAATCATTCTTTTTGATATTTTTTTAAACTATTCCAAAACAATAAAAAACTATTAATTACTTGTTTTTATTCATTATTTGAAAAAAAAATAAACTAAAAATAAATTATATTAATATTAATGTTAATTATTATTTATAAATAGATATTTCAAGTACATTGTTGAAGTAATCCCATGTGTAGAAGTGAAAAAGCCAACAAAATTCTTTGTTAAAAAAAATAATCATGAAGAACTATAAAATATTTATTATTTAGAAAAAACCCTTTTTTTTGGAGAACAAATGTCGAATCTTTAAATTTAATAACAAAGTGTTTTTTGAATTCAAGATAAAATATTCCAATAATTCAAAAACAAAAAGTTAATATTTTTTGGTGATATCTTTTTTCACAAAATAAACAAAATTCAACTGTAAATTCTGATAAAATCTATTAAATTATATATTTATCTATAAACTTTATTTTTAAAAGACACCCCTCCATCATTAGAACCATTTCGTTCCCAAAAATCCTTTCCACTGAATTTCAAAATTTCTCAGAAAAAAATAAAAAAATGAAATTTGAAATATCAGATATGTCTGAAGTAGACCATTACCTTGAGACTCTTTTTGCAGGGCAATTGATTACTGAAGCGGAGGTGAAGGACTTATGTGAAAAAGTGATTGAAATATTAGACAAAGAGCCCAACATACAGAAATTAAGTAGTCCCATAACGTTATGTGGTGACGGTTTGTTTTCATCGACCTTTTTCAACCATACTTTAACTATAAAATTATTATATAATTGAATCACCTGGTTCAAACTATTTATGAAACTATAATAAACTATATCAAATAGTAATAAACTATAATTATTTATAATAAACTATAATAAACCAAACAAATAGTAATTAAGTAGTTCATGGACAATGGCACGACTTAAAGAAGTTATTTGAGACCGGAGGGAATTGTCCGGACACGAAATATATATTTATGGGGGATTATGTTGATCGTGGGTATTATTGTTTAGAAACAGTCTTGTTATTACTTTCATTGAAAGTTAAATTTCCTGAACGGATCATTATGTTACGAGGGAACCATGAGAGTCGCCAGATCACACAAGTGTATGGGTTCTATGATGAGTCGATTCGCAAGTACAAGTCGTTTAATGTCTGGAAGTACTGTACGGAAGCGTTTGATTACTTAGGGTTAGCTGCTATTATAGATCAAAAGATCTTTTGTATCCATGGAGGGATTTCTCCTTTTGTTAATAACTTTGATGACATCACAAAGATGGAAAGAAGACAAGAAATCCCACATGAAGGTGCTATGTGCGATTTATTATGGTCAGACCCCGATCCAACTACTAACGACTGGAAACCATCTCCTCGTGGCGCTGGACATGTCTTTGGCGAACAAAATGTCGTCAAGTTTAACCACGCAAATAATATCGACATGATCTGTAGAGCTCACCAATTGGTCACTGAAGGGTATAAATACCAATTCGATAAGAAGTTGGCAACTATTTGGTCCGCTCCTAACTACTGTTATAGGTGCTCTAATGACGCGGCTATTTTCGTCATAAAACCAGACGAGAAAAAAATGATCACGTTCTCAGCTTCTTCAGATCCTAACAGAGCTGTTCCTCCTAATATCCCTTTGCCTGAGGCATTCTTGTGAGTCTGTGTGTTCAAATCAGTAAGAAAGCCATTTAATTCCCTGTTACGGTTTTATCGGAGATTATTTGTGTGTAAAAATAGACAGAAGTGTAAATTGTTTGCCGTTATTCTGTTGTAAGTGGAAATGTACCTTCGGTACTCTGTTAATATGATTTAATTATAATAAATAATACTACAATTAACTAATTAAAACCAATTCAAAAGGATACTATTTTACTAGTAACATTACTTATAATGAACTATAAATTATAATTACCAAACAAAGAAAGAAGTAAATTACTTCAAGTAATTTGCAAGATGTTTCAAATAGTTTTAGAAAATAGTTTTAAAACTAATAACAATAGTAAAACAAATTATTATAGTTAAGTAATAATAATTATTATAACACTTAATAAATAAAAGTAACAAACATTAGTTTTTAATTATATTTTTAATATATTTGAACAATATTTTATACTATTGAACCCAAACAAGTTGTTTTGGTCGAAATTAGTTAAAAATGTAGTATTAAATTTGGAAGAAGCGAGTAAATGGTATCAAACGAACTTTGAAATTGAAGGATGAGTACACGTAAAGGGCAGTCGAAGTATTATTCGCCTGATTTTGATCCTGAAGAATTAGAGAAGTTTGTTGATAAACAGCGACGTTTACACAAAGGTCTTGGGCCGAAGAAATTGGATGTTCGAATGATGCTTCCGATGAGTGTGCGGTGTAATGCGTGTGGGGAGTATATGTACAAAGGGAAGAAATTTAACTCGAAGAAAGAAACGGTAGAAGGCGAAGACTATTGCGGTGTTAAAGTCTTCCGATTTTACTTCAAATGCACAAATTGTAAGAACGTCTTCACTATTAAAACAGACCCGAAGAACGCAGACTACGCCGTCGAGTTGAATTGTTCAAGAGGCGTCGACGTCAGAAAAGACGAGATGAAGGAAATCGAAACAAATAAGGTCAAACGAGAAGAAGAAGAAAAAGACGACGTCATCAAAAAACTCGAAAACCAAAGCGCCGACACCTTGCGACAACTCAGAAACGTCGAACAACTCGAAGTCCTCAAGCAAATGAAACGCGACGAGGCAGACGTCAACATCGACGACATCATTCAAAAGGTCCGGCAGGAAAAAATCGAACATCTCGAAAAATCAGAGAAAAATGTCGAGAAAATTAACTTTCTCAAAATTCGAGAGAAAAAAATCAACACCGAAAAAAAGCCGAAAAAAGAAGAGAAAAAGAAAAAGTCAACTTTTTTGTAATTTTTTGTGCATTTTTTTTGAGGTTTTCAATTCAAATAGTTAGGGTTAAATTAGGGTTTGGTCACTCTTTTTGAAAATGGAGTATTTGCGCGCGTTACCCAACACAACAAACGCATTCAGTCACTTCGTACCGACGTGCACTAAATCACCGGTGAAGTGTAGTGTCATTGAAGAATATTGTAATGATGTTGAGAACGACACAAGACACATCCTGACAAGACAAAATGAAGACTTGGAAAAACCACGAAGAAGAGATGTGGACGAAGGGCCAACAACATTGACGAAGAGAAGTAAAAGAGTTGTGTCAATACAATCACAGTTGATGGAGTGTGAGAATTGAGAAAAACTTAATTGAAGTGTTGTATTTGTTAGTTCAACAGGGAGCTTCTTACTTATTTTAATTGTGTTATTTGGAATGTTGTTTGAGTGATAGGAAAATGATAGGGATAAACAGTAAAGAGACAGATGACCCCTTTGTTTTATTTGATTTGTTTCATTCAATTGTTTTCGATAAGAAAGCAAATCTTCTTGCATGAAACAAAATAAGAAGAAAACTTAAAGAAGAGAGACGATGTTTTAACTTCTTAACTTTTGGGTATTAAAATAATTATAAAACAATAACAATGTAAGTATGTTATTTTTTATAATGATAGCACCAAAATACAGAACACCCTTTTTGAGTAAAAAACAAACTGGAACAACATAATAATAATATAAGATGGATTCAAACTTGGAAGAAGAGAAGATCACCAATTTCGAATACATTAAAAAGGTGTTCCGAATGTTTTGTGCTTCAAATTGTCTTTTTGGAGTCAGTTTCATGGGTTTGTCATCATCAGAAGAGTCAAAAAATTAAATTACATATTCAACTTAAAAATTTCAATAATATTTGTTTATAGAATTGGATTTGTTTAATTATTTATTTTTGATTAAAATAATCAATTATATAGATAACACTTTTTTCAAAAATAGAATGTTCAATTGAAAGTTTGTTACTTCCATATGTAGTCAGTGAATTCAATTTATCACTGTCTTTGAGTAACTTGATCTTTGTAATGATCATCCCTATCATTTGTTTTTTCGTACAACCCTTAGTGGGATACTTAAGTGACAATTTTATCCTTAAGAAGTATAAACGGAGGTTCTTTTTATTACTTGGACTTTTCTTTTCAATCTCTGGTATTGTAATAATAATGGAAACAAAAAAAATCACTTCCCTTATGTTTCCTCCTCAAAAAGAGTCTTTAAACGACAATACAAATACGTGTAATATTGTGATTTGTTCAATAGGTAGTGTAATTGAACATATTGGAGATGCACTTCTAGTTGTACCTGGACGGGCACTTTTAAATGAAGTCACTCCAATGAAGGATCATATATTACACAATTTCATAACAAATGCTCTTAACATGACTGCTTTCTTTTTATTTTTCATTACAAGTGCAGTTTGTACAACTTCAGAAAAATTCTATAAAATTATGTTTTATTCAACTTGTGCCATATTATGTGTTACAACTTTAATCACAGTTTTATCAACTCAAGAAGTTGTTACGATTGACAGTGTAAATGAAGTATCTTTATCACAGAAAATAAATAACAACGTAAAAGCTATTTATAAATATTTTAATAAAAAAGACAGACCTGAAGAAAATGCAATTCAAAGGGAAAAGAGTGACCACATGTTTTACTTGTATTTGTATGTATTTATAGAATATCTAGCCTCTGAACCCATGAGTGCTAATCTACTTATTTTCTTTTCCACTGTGTTTTGGAAAGGGAAGACGGATGGGACTCCTGAGCAGAATAAACTGTTTTATGTTTGTTTTTGTTGAACAGTTTTTAAATAGAAATATCGTTCAGGTATGTTTTATAATTTCAGTCTTTTTAACATCAATCAGATAACATGAATTGAACTTTTTTAAAAATATGGCGACATAATAAAAATACAAAGATGTTTAACAAGAAGGAAGGAATGCAATTTGGAATGTACAGTTTCAGTGTCTATTCTATAGTTCAAGGAATCACTTCACTTTTGATTCCAAATATAGTAAAACACCGAAAGGGACAATTCTTGACTCTAAGCACAATAATCTGTGCAATGAATTCGTGGTCTTTTGTTGGTTTATTTTACATCTCACAATTTAGAGAATCTCCAACAACACCTACAAAAGTTCTAATTATGTTAATATTTTGTGTTATGGCTTTTGATATGGTTGCTATTTACTCTATGCCATGTGTCTTCCTCAAAAAAGTTTCAAGTCCACAAAAGTTAGGAAGAAATAATGGTTTTCTCGAAAGCACTAAATTACTTGGAGGATGTCTTGGAGGGTTTGTTGCATCCTTGATGATGAGTAATGAACAAAACTTGGTGTTGTTAGTCGTATTATGTGCATGTACACAACTAATAGCTTCTTTTACTTCATTCTTTTTGATAACTATTTAATTAACTATTGAAGTATTATTGTTTATTACTATTAAGTTATTATAATATTATTATAATTATGATAATAGAATAATGGTATTATTATAGTATTTTAAAATTATATATATTAAAGGTTTTCTGAATGACTTTAATTAAAAAAAAGAAAAAATAACTATTAATAAATTAAAATAAAACCAATTTAAATGGTTTTTCTTGAAAAAGATACTTTTTATTTTTATTTTTTTTTGCCACCTCATTGAAGTATTTCTCAAAAAAACAAATAAAGTAATAGTATTTCAAACTATATAAACTAACTATAGTATTGTGCTCAAATAAAACCGAAGCAAAATCTTTTCTTTTCCACCATTTTACTCTTTTTCTTTTTTTTTGACGCCAAAACCATAACATATATCATTTTGATATTATAAAAATACTATTACATTTCCTTTAATTTTTTATTGATTTTCAAAATTTCGATAAATTTTTATAAGCAAAAAAATGACAAGCCATAAAGTGTTTAACACCCTCGACTTCTTTTAACCAATAATTACTTTTTAGTCTTAATTTCAAATGAAACGATTCACTTTTATACCAAAAAGATCAAATTGCCTTAATAAAAAAAGACTCAAAACAAAAGAGTAATAGTAAAATAAACTATTAAAAAAAGCCAGAGTCCAACTCAACTCGAAGCTCACAACCATCACCCAACTGGATGCAGTCCGAGAGTTATGCCCGCAAACGTCTGTTAGGCGATCTCAAGAAGTTAAATCAGTTAGAAGAAGAGAACCAGCAGATCAGTGCTGCGCCGAATGAGGATGACATCATGAAGTGGAATTGTTTAATCTTTGGGACAGAAGGTTCGATCTGGGAAGGGGGCATATTCAAGTTGACGATGACCTTTACTGATGAGTACCCCATCAAGCCTCCCAAAGTTGTTTTTACAAGTAAAATGTTTCATCCCAATGTCTATACCAATGGCAATATTTGTTTAGACATCCTTTCAAATCAATGGACACCAACTTATGATATCATTTCTATCTTAAATTCTATTCTTTTACTCTTAGACGACCCAAACCCTAATTCTCCGGCTAATGGGGAAGCAGCTGATCTATATATTAGAAATAGAAGAGAATATATTAAACGTGTCGGAGATATAGTAAATGAAAGTATTAAACAAGCAGAAGGGGATGACGATGAGTAATTCGTGATTGTGTTCTTTCCTTGTTCGTAATTATTCTTTATTATTAATCAATTATTAATTAATTAGAATTTTATTAGTAATTTATTAGTAATTTATTAATAATTTATTAGTAAGGAACTAGTAATAAGTATTGTTTCTTTTTTAATTTATTATTAGTAATTATTAATTGTTTATTTCTAATTATTTCCAAGTAACAAATTAATAGTAATTAACTATTAACAAACTATTAGTAATTAGTACTTAACAAAAATAATTAACGAGTTCTTTTTATCTCACCTCTCTTAATCTCCGCTCTTCTTAATTAACGTGCTCGTTTAGATGATGATCTTCTCCTTCTTCTTCTTTGGCTGCTTCTTTGGTTGTTCATTGTCTTTCTTCTTCTCTTCTGGTTTAATGACAAGAACACTCCCGTCTGTCTTTTTCATGACAAAGATGTCCCCGCAGTCACTTTCTTGAATTTTGAGATTTCGTGGATCCATAGCGAGACTTGCTTCTGTCTCTTTTGCTACAACCTTCCCTTCGACCAACGTTTCCATCTCATTAATTTCTTCTCCGATTTCCTTCTCGAACTCCTCCAAGTTGACTTCCCTCTTGAGTCGCTCCATCTTCTCCTCTTCTAGTTTCTCCTCCTCCTCTCGCAGTTTCTGTAACTCTTCGAGTCGCTTTCGATGGGCCTCTTCTTTCTCTTTTAACAAGTCGATGTTCTTCCCATTGCGTTCGTCCACTTCATACTTCGTTCGCTCTTCCGCAGTGGCGATGAGTGCTCGGATCTGCTCCAGACTATATTTCCCCTTAAATATTGTGTTTCTGAGTTGATTGAAGTGCTTCATTTGAATCGCCGTGTTAAATCGGGGTATCTGCAACATCTTCAAAATCGGCTTGAACGTGCATTCCAAGTCAATGCAATATGGATTCCTATTCATTAACACTTGGATGTTTAATACAGTTTTCACTACTACTACGGGACGCTTCCCAAATAACTTCTCAACACTCACACGAAGCATTTCTATCAGAAGTCGAACCCCAAAGAACCCCGAAGAGTACGGCGAGACTCCATATTTCCTAATAGTTTGATTCTCTTCATAGTACTTTGTTAATTGATACACTAACTCGATCATTTTAAACATCAATTCGTCAGGTATCCCATTCCTCATATATAACTCCGCTATTGCACTAATATATGTCAGCCGATGCGCCTTCGTCAAAATATTCAAATTTTGAAACCCAAACGTCGTGACCTCTATTAATTGGTCCACAAACGATATCAACACTTTTAAATGGTACTTCGACACTTCTATTACCATCCGCACTACCTCTTTAATATCAGTAAACACCCCATTCGTCAAACTCTCAAATAAATACTTCACTACCATCGGAACTGTCTCATCATCTTCATAATCAAACTTCCGCAACATCACAATTTTCTCCTCTACACTCATCTCTTTCTTTCCTATGATATATCGAAGATACATTTCTTGGTCAGACGTATATACTATTTCCTCTTTGGTAAGGTTCTCGGAAGTTATATACCCCTCTATCCGACTCATCCACCGAACCGTGTCATTCTTCTCCTTCCTCTTCGCCTTCTCCGCTAACTCTTTCATCTGCTTCTTCAAATTCATTTGTTCCGTGTAATTCACGTACATCACATAATGCCGACAGCAATAGTCCAGCGCAGTGTAGATCAGCTTCAGCCGCTTCGCTATATTCAAATTCGACTTCTTCCCCAGTAAATAGTCAAACGCTCGTAACACAAATTTCTTCTCCAACGTAAATTTGAAGAACTCCGACAGTAACACAATCAAAATACTCTTCGTCTGAAACACCGTCGTACTCTCAAATTCCCGTAACACTGTGACGGAGAACGTATTGACTTCTCCCAAGTTCAGTCCTATTAAATATAAGTACTTCGCTATTAATGGGAGTTCGCTCTGGCCTCGAATCTTCTGCACTAATGGAGTGATGTAACTTTCGATCTTCACAAACCCACGGAAGTATTTCAAGAACTCCTTCGCAAAGTCATACACATTCGTCTCATTCATCGTCTTCACTAAGCTCTGCACATGTCTCTTAAATGACAATTTCAAGTTCTCCGTAGCTTTCAACGGCGCTGGTACTTTCATCACTTCGACAAACACCGTCGTCGACGTGTAAAATTCCATCGTCTGTTGGTCGTCGTACAACTGCGTGTGGTCCTGCGGCTCACTCGTCGCCTTCGCGGTGTTCTCGACAAACATCGACTTCGTGCTCAACCCTAAATATTGCGTCAACGTCTTCACTAAATTCTCCACCTCAAACGTCCGCTTCAGCGAAAGATATGGCGTCGCGCGAGTCTTCGAATAGTGATTGAAGACCTCCGTGAAAACTTCCCGTCTCTTCGTGACGGTCACTATCGCGTCTTTCACTGCCGCGTCCGCAACATCCAATTTGTTCAGCGACTCCTCCAAATTCGGCGACGGCAAATTCCCTGTTAAAGTTGTTAATGAGGACGCTAGGAGTTGCATGAGATACACAACATTGTCTAACCGGATGTTCGTGTTTAAGTCAACTTTCTCCTTCGAGTTGGTCTGCAAATAGAAGAAGAGACCATCTTTAAATTGGCTTTGAAAGACTCCCTCATTATAAGGGAAATGGACTAAGAACAAGATACACAGAAAAACAAAGTACCAAAAGTTCTCAATGTTCCCTTTATAACTCTCAGTCAACTGCGCACACAAAATGTCGAGAAACGGCTTCTGATAATACCCACTCAATATACAACACAACTCAGCGTAGTTCAACGCAACATTTAAATCACTGAAACTCCGCTGAAAAATGTTCTTCACAAACTCAGACAAAAACATCGAGACATTCACTTTTTGAAGCTCAGACCGAATCACCACCATGTCACTCGTCGTCAACGTTTTGATCTTAGTCGAGAGCGTTTGGCAATTCTTAAACGTCGACGCTGTCGGACAATTCGGCCATTTCGGCGTGATGATATTCCTCGCACGGAGTTCAGCTACCTTGTCGAAAAATGTTTGAGGTATAGTATCCTGCAACAATTTACTCATCAATTTCAATATCACAGTTCATAGACGGTGAAACTAGAAGTTATTAATTAAATAACTAATAAGGGTATATTAGTACTACTACTAGAGTATAATAATATAGTATACTATTATATTGATTATTTTTTTTCATGTGAACTTTGTTGAAAAATAACTTTTTTATAATAATAATATTATTATATATGGGTCACAATACGAAAATGAAATAATTTCATAATCAAAAGTAAAATTTGAATAAGAATTAATTATTTAAAATTACTTACAACCTTTGAAGTTTCTCTGTTTTTATGTAGTGTCTTATTTTTGAAACTATATTATATAATAACTTTTATCAATGTGTATACTATTATTGTTTTTTCTTTTGAAAAAAAACATGTATTCTATTGCTTTACTATATTCAACTATACTATATAAGAGTTATATTTTAATTTAAATTAACAATTAATAAACCAGATTAAGTTATCCTAATCGCCCGTTTTTTAAGTAATTTAATTTGAAATATTTCCAATATTTCAGCATATTTTAGTATTTATTTAAACCACTTTTTTGTTAACTTTATGCACAGAATGCCTCGTCAAAGACAGAACATACACAACACGAACACAAGTACAACAACTGCACCAACCCCAACCAGTGTTTTAAGATTTGTTGCACCCCGAATGCAGACAACACAACCAACAAGAATAGCCACCCAAAGAGAAAGACAAATGACCTTAAACTCTCTAAATACCACAGTGGCAACAAGAAGAGGAGCAACACATGTCGATATGGATATACGCCAGCAACAAATGACTTTTAATGAATCCAGAGGAAACTCAGAAACACATAACACACCACAACAACTCTCAAATACTCGGAGAAGAGATACAACTGATTACTTGCGTCATTTGAGATCCGAAGGTATGTTTGTTGAACAACCGCTCGTTGATAAAACAAGACAAAACTTTATTCAAAGAATATTATCCACACACAATTTACTTAATCATCAAACTCCAAACCCACTGACTTACACCTTGTTATGCCAGAAGCCACTTACCTTGTTGAAATAAATCTAAACAACATTAAGAGATTAACGGGGTTTCAGATAAAAGACTTTGTTAAGATACATGAAATTTTTAGTAGTTTGATGTGTAGATTCTCTTTTGAGAATAACAGACATAATGTACGTGTTGCAACATGGTCTGATAAAAAGTATTCATCAGAACTTTTGAGACATTCAAAATTAAACAATTTAAAAACAAACGAAAAATTGTTGATTTTGATGACTCTATTACACACCAACAAATCTTATTTTGATATTTATTTGTGTTTGGGAATGAATAATAAATTCAAAGATCGAGATTGGAGCATCAATTCAGAACAATCATTATTGTTAACCACCAGAGCTGAGTTAAGAGTGGAAAGGGCAATAGAAGATGCATTGAATTTATTAACAGATAACTCCAGAGAACATTTAATGGTAAAGTTGGAAAATACAACAGAAATAGTAAAAACGTTTGCAGAGACCTGTGAAGCTTCTTTTAGTGAATGGATTTCCAATTTAAAAAAGTGTAGGTTTGCAGTAAATGGTAGAGATCAAAGGGTTAACAACTCTTCAAAAATCGTGGGTGGGAGGCTGTGTTGGAATGGTGTCTCTTTTAGTCAAAAGATTAACAAGAGCGCACTAAAAAGTGAAGCTTATTGCACTTCTCTGGGAATCGTTACAAATCTGACAATGTGTATACCAGCTTCATTCCACGATGCAACTATTTATAAAAATTTCAAAATGTGGTTGACTCAGCATAACGAATTTGTACTGGCTGACTCTGCGTATGGTTCAATTGAAAATGTAATTGGAATGTATAAATTCGACACAACTGATGATGAAATCACTCATGGTATAATAAAATTTACAACAGCATAGTATCTTCTCTCAGAATTATAGTGGAAAACATGTTTGGGAGATTAGTTAGTTTATTTAAAATAATGCGAGAACCTTATTCGTTGAGTATAAACAAATATAACAATTTGACTACAATTTGTCATTGTTTATGTAACTAATATGTTCTTGCGTATCCATTAAGAGATGTTCATTTTTATTTAATTAATGAACGTTATTCTCTCCCAGGAGTAATAAGGCTATTACCTCCACGAGTCATAGAAGAACAACAAAGAATTGCTGAATTAATTCAAAACAATGATTGGACATTTGATGAAATAATTGGCTTCAAGTTTAGTATTTAAACGGGCGATTAGGATAACTTAATCTGGTTTATTAATTGTTAATTTAAATTAAAATATAACTCTTATATAGTATAGTTGAATATAGTAAAGCAATAGAATACATGTTTTTTTTCAAAAGAAAAAACAATAATAGTATACACATTGATAAAAGTTATTATATAATATAGTTTCAAAAATAAGACACTACATAAAAACAGAGAAACTTCAAAGGTTGTAAGTAATTTTAAATAATTAATTCTTATTCAAATTTTACTTTTGATTATGAAATTATTTCATTTTCGTATTGTGACCCAATAATAATATACATTTTTAAAAAGTTATAGTTTCATTATTTATATTATAATTTGTAATAAAATTTGTTATCAAGTATCATTAGAGATAAGAATTAATTATTAATGGTTACATGTATTAATAATAATGGTATATAAACTGTAACATTATTGACTTCTCGATGAGAATTTCATAGTGTTATGAATCTTAGCCGTTCTAATACCAAAATTTTTCAAAAAATGTATACTTATTTATATCTTATTCATTTTGAGTGTAAATTAGTAAGAAATCACGCAAAAAACGCTTTAAACTTTTTACAACTATGGGGAATACCAGGAAACAATATTAGTAAAATTATTAGTAAAAAATAATTGAATTTACTATAATTTAATAGTAAATTATAACCTAAAATCGTATTTTTGTTGAAAAAATGTTCACTTTTTCTGTGAGGAAAACTTGACAACTTTTACTATTATTATTTTCAAGTTTATACTTTTTTCTTTTTATATTAAAAAGTTGTGTATAGTATAATAAATTATACATTATAAGTCTTTTCAAAAACAGGGTTTTAAAATAAGAAAAATGTATTAAATAAAAATCTGATAAAATTTCTTTCATTGAAAACCAAGGGATACTTCATACTTTGAAAATTCCAAAAGTAATTATTTTATTTTTATATTGTAAATGTTTTGATGTTTTGTAACTAACTTGTAAAAAAGTTGACATTTTATTGAATTCCGATTTTTATAACAAACAATCGAATACTATAATATTTTTTGTTTTACGACACTGACGTTCAGTGTTTTCAATCAACAACTCATTGTTAAAAATTGTATGTTTATGAGATGTATTTTCAAAAAAAAATTCTTAATTATCGTTTTAATTTTTTTCGTTTAACATTACACAAAAAACCAAATGTATATAAAAAACATAACTACCTTTTTCATTATTGTAAAATGAAAACCCATACAAACATTACTTTACATTATTATAAAATATATTTTATAACCAATTTGTGTGATCAAACAGTGTTGGACTTTTAATTTATATAACATACAAATAATAAAAAGTGGAAACTTTTTATATATTATAAATGTTACATCAAACCAGAACTTAAAAATATGATATTGAAGCTTAATATAATTATATTTGGAATACCTTTTTGTTTGTAGATTTAAGTTTATATTGATCTGTATGCGTGTTATTACAATCATATTTCTGGTATTGGAAGGGTTAACAGATTTGGCCTATACAACATTTAAAACAAATCAGATCAACGTAAAATTATATATTTAATAACTAAAAGGAGCAAAAATAATATGAAAAAGATGTAGCAAAAAACAATTAATAAAATGCTTTGATAATTGTTCAATTTTACAAACAAAGCGACAAAGACAAGACTGAATGGTTTAAAAATATTGCCGATCACAGATAAAAGTATTTGAAGAACAAAAAGATGTAATTAAATAACAGTACTAAAGTTAACAAACACAACAAGTATTATTTTGATAGATGGAAGACAAGATTAAAGTACTCAATTCACAAGTTTTATCACTTAATTAACAAATTGGATTAGCAATTTTGGATTAAAGTACTCAAAACAAAAGTAAAATATTGTCGATGTTGCCAAAAACAAATAATATGATGTTCATTTTATCTTAGACAAAGCAAATAACAATGGAATAAAATAACAATATTTCGATAAATTCAGTTGAATAAAAGATTATCATCAAAATGAATACAATAAATAAGATAGGAGAGCATGAAAGAATTAAAATAAATAGAAAATATTTATTTTTAAAAAACAAACAATAAACCACTTTTTAATTAATTAATACAAAAATCAATCAACAACAAAAAATGTTATGTATTTGTCAATTTTATTTGAAATTAAACATTATGTAAAAATAACTTGTATATTTTAAAAATAAAAATACATTCCTGATATTAACTTTATTGTGTCAAATATTTGCAACAAATTATGTAAATACAGACTGTATAAAAATAAAAAGTGTTGTTTTTTGTTTAATGTTCTATTTTTTAACAATTAAATTATTTATCCTGTGATTGTAAGAATTGGTTTGTGATAAAGGTGTAACTCAACGATTTGCTCAATGAGAAGGTCGGAATAATTAGAACACGATAAATTTGATGTTTTTTGATAGACAATTTTATTTTTATTTCGTTGACTTTTCAAATAACAGTTTCTTTTGGATTTAAAAAACATAAAATAATATCATTTTAATAAAAAATTAATAAATAACAAAAAGTATTTAAAAATAATAAAATGATTTGTGAATATATTAAAATCCACAAAAATATACCACCAAATTAAAATTGTAATATCATCAATAATAGAGAACATTTTTAAAACAACAAAAGGTTTTTTAAAAACACTTTTTATTTGAAACTAAAAATACAACTATATTTTTAAATTTGAGTAAAAATACAATAAAAATTGCTATTTATAAAATAAAAATTGCCGAATAACAATCATAAAAAGAGACACA